TACATTTTCAGAGAGTGTAGCCGTTTGTACGTTAGGATACATGCAATTGCGCTCAGACCATGTTTCATTTCTACCATAGAAACCAGTAGCACTATTAATAACTTCACCTTCATAGTCGAAATCGAGTAAAAACCTCCGTGTAGCTTCTAACAATGACTCATCTTTATTACGTAGAGCTACCATACCAAGAATAAACCGCGGTTGCTTCTTAGGTGGTTAGGGTGGTTGTGAATCCGTTATTGAAACTGACAATGTTTTTCTAATGCATTGAATGCAGAAATATCTAGGCATGAAAATTCTTGTTCTTGATTGTATCATCGTTTTCAATAAAATGTTTTAATGCAAGGAGTGGTTGTTGCTGAAATACTGTATATCCCTCAAGAAGTACCGACTTAGGAGCGAACCATTCTTGCAAAGTATTTCGGAACAATAGTAGTCCTTACTAGGAATATACTTTCGTTGAAATAAAGGACCAAAATGATTGGACCCATTTACCATCGTACAAAACTGATAAATTTGTGGCTCCGCCAGTTGTTGTTTAAGGGCAGAAACAGATACTTTTTTTACCTCCTTGTCAGGTCTTAAGTAGAGGATTAATAAAGGATTTTTAAGCTTTCTTGATGTACTTTGAGCAGATATATTACTAAATGTAATACTCCCATCCCTTGTTGTATTTGTTTCCGAATATAAATAACTTCCAATCATCTCCTTCCTAATATTATCAATAGCTGTATTAATTGCCTCTGTGTAATAATCTTAGTCTAATGTTCCATAATCTGCGACGGGTTTCTACTATTTGAAACCCGTCGCAGATTATGGAACATTAGACTAAGATTATTACACAGAGGCAATTAATACAGCTATTGATAATATTAGGAAGGAGATGATTGGAAGTTATTTATATTCGGAAACAAATACAACATAAACCGTATATATATATATATATATATATATATATATATATATATATATATACATTTTAATAAGCTCTGTAGAAAACAAAAATAATTGTCAAACCAGCATTAGGAATCAACTGCAAGATTATATTAATTGATAGTTATAGTTTTGAGATATCTAAAAACCAAATAATGAGATAAAATGTTCAAGAGAACTAATAATTACAAAATTCAAAACGCCATATATCTGCAATGAATAGACTGATTTAAATTTTTTTTACTTTTTGTAGGAAAAACAATTTTCTGAAAGGAAACAGACAACAAACAGAAATCATCCTTTAATTAGAAAATATATTCTTAATACTGCCCAGATTTCGATAAATGTTTTTCATCGCTTAGGAAATTCAATAATATTTGAAATATGTTCTAATAAAAACCACCGAAAAATGCATACCTTTTTGAGTTAATTCGTCTAATGAGAAACAGAGTTTTCCGCCATCTTGGAATAGAATATCGGGTGGCGATGGGACCCCTTTCTCAACGAAAGGTACTACCCTAACACCAAATTAATGTATTGTCTTTCCAATTTTATTAGAATGAGCTGTAGAGATGCGCAATAAAGAGGGGAAGAAGTTTAGAGAAAACGTTCATACATGAGGACATTTAGAAAAAAAATCTATTAAAAGTTTAATGTTATTGTTCTTCCTGTGAACCAACTCTGTTCACCGAATTTCAGCAAATTCGGTCCAACGGGGGTGGGGGTCGCTGAGAGTGGCACAATGTAGGTGAGAAAATTATATATATCTTACATTTCTAAAAATTTCATTTTGTTTTCTAAGCGTTCTAAAACGTACTCTAATAGATAAATGTACTATTTATTTTTAGTTGGCATTTCGAAATCGTTCATAATACCAAATATGTTACATACAGGTACGGGTACTGTTACTGGTGGGAGGAATTAGTCTGGCAAGTGGGCATATCGTGTTCCTTTTTGCCAACTCCTGACAAAACAACTCCCGGCTACCTTGAGGTTGCCGTCGCGTATTTTCCAGAGTGGGAATGTCAAGATTCATTTCCCAAAGTCGAGGAGAAATGAAAATTAATTAGCCATCGCGTCCTAAAATATATAATAGTTAAAATTATTTGTATTGAAAATGGTAAAATGAGATTTATTATATTAAAGAAAAACTAAAAATAATTGTTTAATGATAGCAAAAATGAAAAAAAAATAATAATAAACGTAAATATCATTAATATTTTTATTTCAATCAATCTATAGTAAAACTTTTATTTTTTGTTTAAAATCTCTTCTAATCCTTCACAGGACTGTCATAAAACATAATATAATGGAAGGTACTAGCTTTAAACCGCTATTTTCTTCAATACTAGTAGTATTTAAGTTCTCGTCCACTACTGTTTCATGCAAAATTTTAGTCAAATCGCGATCGACCGTTTTTCTGGATCCATTGAACGTAAAGAGAGTTTTATAATTGCTAAAATTTAAATTGATAAAATGCACTACAGAGTAGTCTATAATTATTATCTTCGTATGAATTTTTTTTTTTTTTTTTTTGTCGTTCCCTTCCTCACCGTTAAGGCTATACGGGATTTTCCCGGGCCAGGGAGTGTGGGCGGGGATTTAAAAGACTCCCTCGGCACCGGGACGCGAACTCGTGACTATTTTTATATCTTTAATTCATATGTCAGGTTGCCAGGCAACGGCGGTGCAGTGCACACGCTTTAGCCCATTCGGCTACCCCGCCCACTATCTTCGTATGAATAACAGTTTCCTGGATATTAGCAAACGTTCACCAACTAAGGAAAAATAAATGTGGGATTTGAATTTTGTGTCCAAGTGCGACGTCCCCTTTGGCAGAAAATGTTTTTTGGTATGAGGAGGGTGTGCAGTTTCTTGTTGGTTAAGACTAAAAGTTTCCTTCATATAAGTCACAAAATTACGACTCTGCTCTAGACCTACGAAGAAGCCATGCCCATTCAGCCACGGGCGGATCTACAGGGAAGGGGACTTTGGGGCTGAAGCCCCCCCTCCCCCCCCAAAAAAATGGTAAAATATAACCATGTTTTATGGAAAAAAAAATATCTTAAAGTATTATTGTTCGTGTAATTACATTTAAAAGGTCTTTAGGAATCGCTTAAACACCATTTCATATAGATAGTTAGTTTTTTTCTTTTTTTCCAAAGTAATTATCATTATTTTTATAAAAAAAAAAAAAGCTTTCGAGCTGAAACACTTCCCCCAAAAATTAAATCCTGGATCCGCTAGTGCATTCAGCTATTGAGATAAGTTAAATCGATTTCGCCAATGATACAACGAACTAATATTAGAGATCAACCTGTAGGGCTATCTTTTATTTACTTATTATTATCACATTATCACAACTGATAATGGTTGTTTTTCATTCTTCTTTCTTTGATATCCATAAGATAGATTCAGCCTATTGAATATTACCTTAGCATGATACATCTACTTCTAATAAAACCGCCCGTGACCTTCTTGACATGTTAATTTGCGATGATATTTATATATATATATATATATATATATATATAAAATTTGACTATTCATTTATTCGATTGTGTATCTCAATTATCTTCGCATTTATACTGCGTGTAATACATTATTGAGATAACGTGATGGCATGGATCCCAGAGTTCTTAGTTCTGAACGGTATGGCTTCGATCCCAAACGGGTCGCTTAATATTTATTACTTAGCGGGCTCGGGAAACGAATCTTGACTTCCCATTCTACTAAGTACCTTCTCGTTCTTGGAAATCCGTAATGAAATATTTTTTAAACCAGAAGATACATTACTAAGTTTGGGTTTTACGAAAAAAAAATATATATATAAAAAAACAATATCCCCTACTTGGGATGGGCAGCAACTAGTAAATCGTTTCATCCCATCTGAGATTTGATTTTCTGTTTGGTTTAGAATATTTTGAAATATACCACTTAAAAAACTAGCAAAAAAAAAAAATATATATATATCTGTATATATTTCCATACAAGAAGTACGTTCGATATAAACTAGATAAATATGAAATACGCTTGTGGAATCATTTCAAGATTACAAAGATACATCAAAATGAAAAACATGTGGCACCCATATAGTTTCGTCTACTCTTTTTCGATACTTATTGAGGTACTTCAAATTCGATGAATTATGAAAATTTATTCACACTAAAAAGCTAATATCTTATGTCGAGGATGACTAAAAATTAATCAAAATTCAACCACTATTGAAGATTAATAGAATTTGTCATGAAGATGCTCAAAGGAACGTAGAAAAGAAATGTTTTGATTAGGGGTTTTTCATGGTGTAAAAATTAAATTTATCAAAACACTTGATAAATGTCATATCGAATGTAAGTCGGGATTGACGCAAGGAAGGAAATTTATCTTATTCAAAATTAAAGTTATATAATGCATAGTTTAAAATTTGATTCAGATGAAGCCTGTAGTTTAATGTAAACTAAAGCGGATATACTAATTGAAAACTAGAATAAAATTAAGGATAGTCTGATAGATCTTATGTATATAATGGTATTCACAAAGTAAAAAAAAAAATAAATAAAAAAATTGTTACGTAGTTTAATAACAAAACGAAGAGGTAATTTTATAGCAACTGAGCGCTGGAACCACGATCTATCCGAAAATATTCATTTTCCCACCGAATACCAAAAACCCTCAAAGGCATTTGATTGAGATCTTAGGTTTGATTGTGTACATTTATTGTTTTAAAATGTTCTTAAGAGAACATTACCTGTCATAGCTATATTACTACAACGCAATTAATATATTTACAATAAAACTGAGTATCAATAATGCTTTATGAAAATGAAAAGAAGCACATTCAAACCCGAAACCGAGCAATGCTTAGCAATACCATAACACACGACCAAGGTAAATTCATGGACCCATGGGACGACCAAGGTTAACAACACCCCAGCGACAGAGGCACTCCTCGGAATCGGAAGTAGGTCGAGGTACATGTGGCTCAGGGGGTTGATTCGCCGAACTTGATGAGATAAAAAAAACAAATGAACATATGGGAGGGAGGCAGGTTAAAACTATTTACTCACATCTCCCAAGCATGGCTTTGTTGACACAATCCTTCAAAAGTTCTGACCTCGTCAACTGGTGGAGCCACTTCGATCTAGCCTCTTGGATCGTTATTGTCGTCCGGAGCATGCGCTACCACTCTCCCTGATTACTGGGTCATTATGGTCTATTTTGTAAAGTGTGTTAGCTATTTAATACCTTTTATGGTATATCATGTCTTTAGAAGAATAATGGTTTTCTTTTTTTATTGTCACAGGTCTAGAACAATCAGTATCGAAAGCCAACATATTTATTTACTTGACTATTGAAAAATAAGAATTCTTCTGTAGAAGACATTAAGGCGCATTTAGTAAAGGCTCGTAGGTTTTAAAACTATATTGAACAATTAAACTGTAATCTATATAAATGCACTGTAGAACTTTTTTTGTTCTATATAAATATATTTAGCACGTTAATAAAGTAAATAGACACAGGATACATCTGGAAATGAAAGAGATATTAATATAGAGTAGGGAAAAATTAAATATTTTAAAAAAATCTCAATAACTTTAAAATTTATTTATAACTCCTATATTAACGACTTTTCTAAATATATTCTTCGCAGTTCCAATCATCTATAGACCGATATACATACCGTCGACCCCCAAATCTATAAATCTTTTTCTCCTTGAAATCTGCCTGGTTTGCCAAGAATCGTGAGGACCTAGATCGAATAAATGCCTGGTCTAAAATAAATGAATTAAGGTTAAACGCGACTAAAACTCAGAACTTCGTCATTAGTCTCAAATCGCTTCTTAGATCCAATGATAATTGATAATCTCATCACTTGTCGTGATTCAATATGAGTTGAAAATCTAGGTTTTATTGTTAACCAAACGCTCTCCTATAGCCACAGAACTACACAGTACCATAGCCACAGTATCTCCTAACGGCTAATTTGGCGCTCAAACTATTCCATCTCCTACCGCAGTTTTAGAAGTAAACTGTTAATCGTAGAATCTTAGTGCTATCCCTCATCTTTTCTAGCAGACAATATTTCCTCAGCACATTTCTTTACTAAACAATCAACAACCTTTGTCCAACTATCTCCTCCGATTCAAGTCCTCTATCCACAACCTTACCACAAATTCTCGACCTTTTGACTTTTATACCACATTTCGAAAGTTAACAAATCGGAGGCAGTGAAGACTTTATTAAGTAATATTTGTATTCATAATGTCTTTTACAAATGTCATCTTCAAATATAGACTAATACTATGATTATATAGGTTGACCACAAGAGTTTACTACAGGTCTCCTGGCAAGAGTGTGACTTCAAGAATTTAACTGCATGAGGGATTAGTCTAGAGGATCGTGGGGTTTATATATTCAGGAATAGTAGGTGGACGAAAGGAAATCGAAAGAGGACGGCAAAGGAAGCGTGAGAGAAGTTATTAACTATTAAGAATTGGTATTCTTATCTTTTAGAATTGATATGAAGTCTGTGAGACAGACACCTTTTGCTGAAATCTGTTATTGTTCCCTAAGTCTTCATAATGGGTCTTGTGTCCAGTCAGAACATTCTGGATGACTATTTCTAAGCTATCGGAGATAGCTTGACCTGGCTATCTAGAGATAGTTTTGTGCTTTTATCCTTTGAGTTATGAGAAACATCAATAATATATATGATTTATTAATTGGAATATTTATCAAACTCAATTATTAAAATAAAAGTTAAATTAATATTATTATTCGTTGCGGATTAAGTCAATTCCGTAACTGAAGATTTGCATCATTCCAACAGTGTACTGTTTCCCGCTCCATCACATTCTGGAATTCCCTCCCTCTTCAAATCCAGAACGCTCTTTCCTTATCCACATTTTATATCAACCTATTCTAATTCTTCTTTACAAATCAGTCTACTGACAAACCATTTATTGTGTATGTAGCAAGGCTTTGTTTTTATTATTGACGTTTAAAGATTGAATTAGAATAAATATTTCTTTTTATTTTTCATTCAGCGTTGGTATTGTTTTCTGAAATGTACAAGAATTCTTGATGTTTTATGTTACTTCATTTAATTATTGTTACTTTATTTATTTTTGAGGTACGAGGTATGGTTTTAATGAAACAGAATTTTTTTACATGTCCTTCATTTTATATTTACAAATGTTATATGTACTTGTTAAACAGCATATCAACAGCCACACTGCATAAGTCTGTAAGGACAATTTCTATGAAAAGTGCGGTTTTGAGCTATTCTGTTCAATCTGAATTGCCCAGGCGCATATTCTCATCTCACAAAATGAAATCTACGATGTTTCATTTCTTCTCTATTGCCTTATGAAAAAAAACTTTAATTTAAAAAACAGCAAATTGAGATGTAAAAAACTGTAAGTTACAGTGAAGGTTATAGAGATTGTGCCGTTACCGAAAAACGTAATGAAATGCTGGAGAAAAGTGGTCAAGTAAATACAGAATTTATAAAGCGTTTTGTGGATACAGTATCGATTAGCTTTATTAATAGGCTAAAATTATTTTTTCTTATAGGCTTTAAATTACACAAAATAACATAGTCCTACGAAAGATGTTAGTTTAAATAGAGGCCTTGTGATTGACTATATAAAAAACGTTCGAGGAAATGTCCGATCCCAAATGACAGGGACACAATAACTAACCTACAGCGCTTAGTTAGGTCAAAGGCAATGGAATGGTCTAGAAGCATTATTTCAGTCGGGTTACTCACTATATCTACATTGTACACATACAATTTTTTGAACTTCAGTTTTCTATTTTTCTAAATATAATTTTACACCGTGGTACAGAGACATTTTTATCAAATTATTAACATCCGCCTAAAACTTCGTGAATGGCATCCCATTGTGCCCTACAATTTTTTTATCAACGCAAATTCCCAGAAATGGAGGGTTTTATAGTTAAATTAATTAATTTAAATAGGTACTAAAAATCTCATAAATACTCGCTTACTTTTCACTTGAATTGTAAAATAATTTAATTACCAATTCGAGAAAAAAAAAGTGGTCTACAGATATTTTGGATCGTTTGGTCTATATAGGCTGGTTTTTTTATGTTGGGGATGAAGGTCAAGCCAAACGGCCAAATATTTTTGTAGGTCACTTTTATTATCGATTTTATGCTCAAACTATCTTACGATTCAAGCGTAAAAGAAATGGATGTTCATGAAGTTTTAGTACCTAAATTAATAGAAAACGTTTGCCAATCTTCAGATTGAAAACCCCCCGATTCCGATAATTTTCAAAAATAAAAATTTGTAGTTTACGATGAGATGAAGCTATTCACGAAGTTTAAGGCGGGTGTTAATAATTTGATAAAAACAGGTCTGCACCACGCACAGTTATAATAACTTCAGAAAGCTATCACACTTGATTATTGTTAGAATCTAATAGGAAACATTCCAAAGTCATACCATTGAGTCTTTAAGTACCAGTAAGCAATTTACCAGTCAACTTTTCTTCAAGTCAGACATCATCAGGACGGAAAAGCATGGAGTAGACTAAACATATCACAAATGTGTAGACTAAATACAACACATCAACACTCACATCAACATTCTAAAAAAGTCTTGAGGCTGGGCTAATGATTCAATTTCAAATATTTAGATAGATACAATAAATAGGATAGATTCATCTTAAAATTTAAAATATGCATGGTAATATTCAACAGAAGATTGCTAATTTATAAGGAAGCATGATTTAATGTTCAGGCACATTATGATGAGAATGCTTTTTTAAATTGAATTATTTTTTTATTTCAAGTCCATTCACTACCCCTTATGGGCAAAATCCTGGAAAACTCATCTTAAAACGCATGTATCCTATCCTTGATTCCAACCACATTATCCAAGATCAGCAATTTGGATTCCACACATCCCATTCCACGATCCAGCAATGTCATCGTGTGGTAGACGTAGTGTCCTCTGCAATGGAGCGCAGAATGTACTGCACGGAGTGTTTCTCGACGTTGAACAGTTGTTAAATAAAGTCTGGCATCCTGGATTGAAGAAAAACTTCGTAAATTCCTACCACCTACATACTTCCTCATAATCCGTTTCTACGTTACTGATAGATACTTTAAAGTTAATCACAACAATACCTATTCATCCCTTTACTCTCAGTCTACTGGTGTTTCTCAAGGTAGTATCCTAGGTCCTATGCTTTACACAGTATGCACAGCTGACATCCCAATACTATCATCACCACATACGCTGATGACACATGTATCCTATCAGTTAATAACGATCCATCAATTGCATCTCAAACTCTTCTATCACATATCACAAACCTTGAAGAATGGTGTCATAACTGGAGAATTAAAATAAATCCTATCAAATTACCTTCACTCTTCGACGTAAATCTATGACTTCCTGTTCTATAGTATCCTTTAACAGTTTCCCACTTATCCCTGCTGAACAAATCTGATACCTAGAACTCCAACTGGAAAAACGACTCTCATGGAATCATCATACAAGACAGAAACGACAAGATACTGCTCGACGTTTTAGAATAGTCCAGCACTTACTAGACGAACGCTCTAAACTTTCAATATATTACAAAAGACTCATATACATGAATATAATAAGGCCAATCTGGACTTACGGAATTGAGCTTTGGGGCTCCACTAAACCATCGAATTCCACTCGTATACAATCCTTACAATGCAAAATCCTTCGTAAAATCCTCAATGCTTCTTACTACAAATAAAATCATTCATTACGACCTTAACGTACCATATGTTTCCGATTTAGCCCAATCCAGATACCTATCCTTCCATAACAAACTTCAAAACCATCCGAACCCTCTCGTTTCAAATCTTGCTTCTTCTTCGATACCTGATAACCCTCCAAGGCGTCTAAAAAGAAGATGGCCTCGTGATCTACTTATGTAAATATATTATTAGAGTGCTACCAATAGGTAGTTTCTAACAAGCGTTTTCATTTGATTGTATTATTACCGTATGCACATCTACTGGATATATTTTTAATTTATACAGTTGGAAATCCCATGAATAAATAAAAAAAACAGAAAAAAAAGTTCA